CTACTTCCTACAACTCACTTGGCCTCTCTGTAACTCCGTTTTGTCATCTATAAACATCAACCCTATAAAAGACATTGTGAGAATCTAAGATGCTTAGAACATTCCCTGGTACAGGGTGAGCAAGAGAGAAAACTAGTGTGGATACAAAAATAATGCAAATACATAGACCTATTCTTAGTACACAGGACTAAGTCCACGATGCTTGTTTAAGATATGCTTGAATTGGGAGTGCTTGAATATAGGAGTTTGAGGCCAGCCTGGGCAACGGTGAGGCCCCTTCTCTACAAAAAATAAAAAAGTAGCAAGGCATGGTAGCACATGCCTATAGTCCCAGCTACTCAGGAGGATCCTTTGAGCCTGGGAGGTCGAGGCTGTAGTCAGCCATGATCCAGCCACTGCACTAATCCTAGACAACAGAGTGAGACCCTGTCTTAAAAAAAAAAAAACTTGAATTAAGTGACCCACAATTATTCAAAAGAAGTTTGAGCATTTGGAAATTACCCCAGAAACAGATGAAGTTAAAAGTTCTACTATAATTACCAGGGGGCCTTACGTCACCTCCAGATTTCCCACAAGCTTCCCCTGGTGAGGAGTTTCCACGCAGCAAGCTTCAGTGCATACTTGAGTCATCTCTAAATAGCCAACCACAATTTGCTCTGCAAATGCACCCCATTTGCCTGATTGCAGAAGTTGCCTGATTTGCAAAACCACACAATTTGTAAGTTACAGAAAAAAGGGCAAGAGCTTGTCTGCCTAGCTGGAGCATTTCTCATTGTGCTCAGCAGTTTAGTAAGATTAGGAACTCACCTGTGAGGTGTTTTTTTTTTTTTTTTAAGACTTACCCTGCTATTTTAGGGAAAGAAAAAGCTATTCAGTATACCCCCAGTCTTTCAAGCTTAGCGCCGAGCAGATGGGTTAAGGAGAGGTGTCCTGCTTGACATATACAATCTGGGATTCAGTGGGTGGGCAAATGAGGCCAACCTCTCATACAGCAGATGTGGTAAATGAGTCATGAATCAGGAGGTAACAAAAGGCTGAACCCTGCTCCCCCAGGACACAGTCATTCACTAAACAGGCCCAGAAACAGGAGCAACACTCCCAAGGGTAAATAAACCTCGCAAAAACTCAACTCAGCACACATTTTGAGTGCACGCTAAGTGCGACCTCTGAGCTGATTGCCCTCTGAAACAAGAGGCTCTAGCTCATAGTGCAAAGGTCACCTTTCTTTGTTTCAAAAACCACAAGGAAGGAGGAAGAAAGGCGGACTGGAAAGACCAGCCTGGTCACTGATGTGGCTCACGTAGCAGACCTGTCCACTCTCCTCCCCTACCTTCAGCAACTGCCCAGTTTTTTTGTTTTGCTTTTGTTTTTTAATTACCTGATTGACTTAATCAGGTGCGCAATGATGTGAAGGAGGAAGAAAGAAGTCATTTCTCTATAACAGGGGAGGCATCTGCCACGGTAAGAGTGGATGGGTTTGTTGTATTTTTAGAAAAAGAAACCAAATTCCTCTGCAGAGAATTGCTTTTCCTGTTCTTTATTTCAACACCTCCCAAACCAAACTGCTTTCTAAATGACTGGGGCCTAACTGGAACACTGAAAGCTCATGTCAATGGGGCAAGCGTGAGGACTCCAGTGTCCCAATGAGTGCTAGTAAGAAGTGCTGGGAATGAGGGTCATCACACAGAGAGGCCGGAAGTGGAAGGAAAGAAAATACGTTCCAGTGATAAATTCCAAATGCTTTGATTTTAAACTAAGAATGAAAACTATTACATTTTCTCCAGTAACAGTAAAACTGTGGGTGATTTTTGTGTCATCACTTACGTTTTGCGTCATAAAAAGGTGAAAATGAAAAAAATAGAATATGATTTTTCTCTCAAGACCAGCTAAGGAAGAGTTTATGAAAAGTTTGCCCACAAAATTCAGCACTTTATTATAGGCTGAACAACTGTTTTCTATCTCTGTTGAGTGTGCTAATCTTAACTCTTTTTTTTTTTTTTTTTTTTTTTTTTTTTTTTTTTTTTTTTTTTTTTTTTTTTTTTNTTGAGTCGGAGTTTCGCTCTTGTTGCCCAGGCTGGAGTGCAATGGCGCAATCTCGGCTCACCGCAACCTCCGCCTCCTGGGTTCAGGCAATTCTCCTGCCTCAGCCTCCTGAGTAGCTGGGCCAGACTATAAGTAGGAGTCAGGCATAATTCAGAAGAAGGGCTCCAAGCGGGTTCCCATATTCTCAGCCGTGAGATCTTGAGCAAAGTAATCTGTGTCTCACTTTCCTCAACTGTAAAATGGGGATAACAGTAGTATTCATCATAAAGAGTTATGAGAAATACTTAAAACTATCCATGCCCAACATACAGTGGGCACTCAATAAATATTAGTTATTATTTTATGCTCTCCACCTATCCAAAAACTCAGGTTCAGCCATGAGCTCTCAAAAGCCTACAAAACCTAGTGTTGTTACTCATGTGTTTTTTAAAAAAAGCAAAACCCTACAGTGGTTGACCCCTATCATTGAGGTAAATGTCTTATTAAGCCAGTTGAGGCTCCCCTTGTGCTAACCTCACACCCTTACACTCCCATTATGTCCCCTCCAAGTCCCAGTGCAATCCCAGAATACCTCCTCTCACTCTGTACTTTTCAGCTCCTGCTATAATGCCTTCCCACCTCGCGGTCCCTGAAATCCTTCCTCTCCCAGGGTTATTGGGCCTTGCTCTCTTAGTAGAATGTAAACTGCCTAAGAACCATTCTCAGAGCTCCAACAGTAGCGGGCACATGATAAATGCTCCAGACACATTTACTGAATGATTGAATATCTATACCTAGTAAGGTTTTCCAAGATTTATATCAAATTCCATCAATTCTATGCATTTAGTCTTTCTATGGAAGCCCTTTGTTAGGATTAAATTTTATTTCTTCTGGGCTCTAACGCCATATTTCTTTGACAAATTTTATTCATTCATATTAAGCATCCAATAATAGTTTTAAAAGATAACAACTAACGTTTAAACAGTGCTTATGATGGGCAAAGTTTTTTGTTTGAGATGGAATCTCTGCGTTGTTTTAAGAGTTTGACATATATCAAACTCATTTACTCCTCACTGCTCCCCCATAAGATAGGTATTTTTATTCCACTTTTGCAGTTGGAGGAAACCATTTTTCACTCAGTCCTAACAGTTGGTCCTTACCTCTGTATCTCCTACAAATATCCGCCACCTAGGGTAACCCTTTCCCCAATTCCAGAGTCACCGGCTCAAGCAAAGTTTGCAGAAAAACAATTTAACTCGGAGTACACAGTTAACACTTGAACATGCGGTTCACTCCGGGCTACCCTGCCCTCGCTAGCGCTTCTGATGGGCCCGCAGGCTGGCCTACGCCGCCCAACAAAGACTAGGACTTCTGCCGGCTCTCTACCAAGAGGACGCAGCGCCTTATACTGGAGGCTCACCCACTGTCTTCAGAGACCTCACGACCCAACCCACGTTTCTGGCATTCCTAGATGATCTCGAACTCTCAGCCAACGCTGTCCATGAAATGCCTCCTCCTCCTGCTATACAAGCCAGGGGCGCTCAATTCAATGAAGCCTCCTTCAGGTCCGTTGGGAAAGGAATAAAGGGAACTTACTTCCTTCCCACCGCCCCCCCTTTACTCAAACCCACCGTTAAGTGTACAAAACTAGGTCCTATGCCCACTGCAGACCCAACTCGAGCCCCTTGCCCGCTCCCGCCCAACGCTTCTCGTCCTGACTCCGAACACAGAATCCTGGAAGCAGCGTCGCCCTCCTCTGTTGCGCGCTGATGAATCAACCCCAAGAGACACCTCTCGGTTTTTTCCGACCAGTGCAGGGGCGCCCGCGCCCCGCCCCTGCCCGCCCGCGTCCGGTCCCACCCACCATCCACGCTCACGCCCTGCCAGAAGTTGCCCTTCCAGTCTGATCGGAGGGACGCGTCGGCCAGGCACCCCGGGGTGTGGCCAAAGGACTTCGGCGACGCCTTCCCGAGGGTGGCCCCCTCCCCAATCTGGAAAACACAACCCCGCGAGGCTGCGGCAATCTAGGCATGCTCACTGGCGCAGGCCCGGCCCGCAGCCTGAGCAGGAAGCGCCGGCGCTAGGCGGCCCCCTGCGCTGCCAGCTGGAGCCGGGCGGAGCCAGCGCCCCGGCGCAGGGTGGCTCTGCCAGTCCCCGCGCGCCTGGGCGGCCGCACACGTGTCCAGGCGTCACGTCCGCGCGCGCCCCCGGGGCTTGCGTCAGCGGCCGCTCCAGAAGCGGGTGGGCCAGGGATCTTTGCGCACCGCTTGGGTTCGGGGCCCGAGACGCCGCGCCGGGAGGAGGGCACCACGAGGGGTCCGACGCGGAGGCGTGTTCGGAACTCCGGGGGCTGCGGAGGGCATCGGCGCGGTCCAACCCTCCGCCTCCCGCGCGCCAAGCGTCTCCGCCGCGCGGACTTGGGCTGGGCGCCGTGGCGTTGCCTCAGAGCTCTCTGCCCGCGGGGCGCGCACCGCCTTGACCTGGGCGGCCCCGCGGCAGGCAGGCGCCCGCAGTTCCATGGTTGGTTCGGAGCGCGATGAGCCGCCCGTCCTCCACCGGCCCCAGCGCTAATAAACCGTGCAGCAAGCAGCCGCCGCCGCAGCCCCAGCACACTCCATCCCCGGCTGCGCCCCCGGCCGCCGCCACCATCTCGGCTGCGGGCCCCGGCTCGTCCGCGGTGCCCGCCGCGGCGGCGGTGATCTCGGGCCCCGGCGGTGGCGGCGGGGCCGGCCCGGTGTCCCCGCAGCACCACGAGCTGACCTCGCTCTTCGAGTGTCCGGTCTGCTTTGACTATGTCCTGCCTCCTATCCTGCAGTGCCAGGCTGGGCACCTGGTGTGTAACCAATGCCGCCAGAAGTTGAGCTGCTGCCCGACGTGCAGGGGCGCCCTGACGCCCAGCATCAGGAACCTGGCTATGGAGAAGGTGGCCTCAGCAGTCCTGTTTCCCTGTAAGGTAAGTCCAGGGACAGCCCACGCACCTCCGCCGGTGACCTCAGGGACTCCGGTATTCTCCAGCCCACTCTCAGGCCCAGAGAGGCGGTCAGCATCTCTCCTAAAAAAAAAAATAAAAAAAAAAAAATGTTGTTTACACTTCGTCCACCCTCCCTCAAGCTCACTTTGAAAGGAGTAGCTCTGGGTTGACATTTACCGATTACTGACCCCAGATTAATCGGCATTCGCTGGTCATTAGAACATTTTAGCTCACCCGCCCCAATGCCCGAGTCCTCTGCAGATGTGTATTCGGGTACGTTTGGTAGGGATGGGCCACACCAGTAAAACTTGGACCGAGAAACTGACTGTGGGGATTGAGGAGGGAGGAAACGGGCAAGCTAAACGCACCCTTTACCAGCCTTTGGCGTGGCTGAATTGATACTGGAGTCCTGCACCCCGCACCTCTCTTCTGCGCACCCCTGACACGTGGGAGCTCTCCAGAGTGTAGCTAAAAAAAGGACCCCTACAGCCTGTTTTCCTCCAGCTACAAGAAAACCCTGCAAGCCACGCCTTTTTCTCTCCTAGCCTTCCAAGGACTGGGAAGGATTGAGGAGTTGTGGCTGCGTTTTTGTATTAAGTGGGGTGAAAACAGTCAATCAAGAAATTAACAAGCGCATTCAAGAGCAGTTGTTAGAGCTGTTTAAAGCTCATCACTTCATTTTTTATTTAATGTAAAAAGTTTTCAGTGCCCTTGCGAAAAATGCAAACCACTAAGACAAGAAGTAAAATGAAAGGGCAGGACCTCTCCTGTCCTGTCCCACCATTGCTAGGTTTAATGTGTATCTTTTAAAACTATATATATACACATACACCCTCGCAGCTAAATATAGAATCATAGATGTCAGTGTATGTCAGGGAGGTTTTTTTAATACCCACACAGAGATACAAGTTTTTCTCCAGAAATGGCATCTGCAACTTGCTGTTTTTAAATTCATATTATCACACATATTTCTCTCTGTCTGAAACCCAGTCAACTTCATTGTATTTTAAATGGCTGCATGGTATTGCATTGTGTGGTCATGTTATAACATTTGTTTATCTGCAGCTATTATGTGGAAACCTTCAGGAGCAATTTCACAGACCTACTTGTCTACATTACTTCATTAAAATCTGGAAAGTTCATTTTCTGAAATTAGAAGTGGAAATAATGTCATTAATACTTTCCAGTTTTTTTGTACAAGTTACTTGCTCTGCCTCTTGGGCCATTTAGGCTGTCTTGCATTTCTCCTTGGTGCTGCTTATTTATAGGACAAGAGCTCATTTTTAAATTAAAAATAATCCACCAGAGAATTTGGGACTCAGGTCAGTAAAATGAGTGATATAATTTGGTCTGCTGCCTTGCCGCAAATCAAGTTTAAAATAGCATATTTAAATAAGGGTTTGAATCAGTGTTTGGACTATGGTGTTTCAGGCAACCTTAATAAATTGCTTTCAACCTCTCCTCATATAATGCTTACTAATTCACTCAGCCCAGTTTCTCAGAGTTTAAAGTATTTGCATAGTTGTCTCAGGTTTGTGAAAAAGGTAACAAACTAGTGGTTAGAAAAGGTTTGGTGGTAGTTAACATAGAGTGGCTATTTGATGTCTGAGATATATTGTAGGGGTGGGGGATGCCCCACAGGATTTCTGGGGAGTCATTTTCTCACCCCATTACTTTCCCTTAAACCTGCAGTGGCTAATAGAAGAAATGGCTTTAGGTGAGTTATAGTTCACAAATGAGCATTTGGTATTAGTCAGTAATCCATAATTTGTTTTTAAAATGCAACCTCATAATAGAATCATGCTATTCCCAAGAGAAGGGGAAGGAAACAGTTATGCTATATGGAGCATGAAGTTTCACTTTCAGGATCTAGAACTCTGGTTCCTATGAAAGCATATGTTCTTTCCTAACGTGTGACAGGCTAGTGAAATCAATCTTGAAGAGTAGTTCTGGGAATCGGGGGTTCTCAGCCTTTCTGTACATGTCAGTGATTTTCTGAGTCTCTATAAGAATACACTTGGGCAAAGCCATTACTTTGCAAGCTGAAATGTAAAAGGGTCAACCATTCTCCTACAGACCAGGAACCAAGCTTAGAATGTGATCTTGGGGATGCTTTTGTGTGTGTATGTGTGTGAGTTGTATAAAGCTGGAGTGTGCATGCCTCACCTTTGGTTGATCAATAATCAAAACTATTGGCAGGGCAGCTCAGCCAGTTAGTCTGGATAAACCAAACTTGAATGTATACATAAGCCCAGCAACCAACCAAGATGTGTTAGCTATAGGGGATGAGGAACAACAGTCAGTGGTAAGGCCTGTATCAAACTTAAAACAAGGTTGGTCTGTTTTCCTAGCCCTTTGGCCTACAGTTTGAGGCTCCTAGAAATTATGGGGACTGCCTTTTCACTGTCCCCACCTGCTCTCAGAATCTCTCATGGGCTGGCTCATGTGAAAAAAAACACTGTTGAATAAAGTACCAGAGCCCACATCTCAAGAGCTGCCTGGCACTGCCACTGTTTGCTTGAAAGACCACCTCTTGGGGCCTTGATTTCCTCATCTGTAAATGAGAGATGTGACTGCTTGACTTCCGAGAACCTGTAGCTTCTAGCGTTCCAAGAAAAGAAGAGAGGCTATCTGGATGCTCTCTGTCTGCCAACTGCTTCGGTAGGGGTCGGCTTTTATTAGTTTGCCTTTTTTTTTTTTGCAGATGAGGAAACTCATGCCTACAGAGTGGTTAAGTGTGAAGTGACTTGTCAAATCACACAGCTAGTAAGTGGACCAGTCCATGCACCTGCATCTCAAAGGCACAGATCTTTTGTCCTACAGGGATTTTGAATCTGAGTGTATACTCCAACATTCTGAATCATAACTCAAGGTTGACACCAGTAACAAAACCATCTGGTTCGATGAGTTCACCAGATGGGCCTCTGATGGGACCATCCCAAAATGACAACATACATACTCACTAGGAAATTCATTGGCAGGAATTTTGTAGGGCATGTAGGGTAGGAAAAATAGGGGGGGACCTACAAACCTAGTATTTTGTGGAATATCATCACATCTTTAGACTGCTTCAGTTAGCCAAAAAATGGATGTATTGCCAAATAGCTACCCTACGTATGTGTAGGGTAATTAATTAAAGCCTAGAGTTCGGCCAGCAGCTTTGATAACAGGGAACCAGGTGCATTATTAGTTCAGATATTTGGGTGGTGTCTCATGCCTGTAATCCCAGAACTTTGGGAGGCTGAGGCAGGCAGATCACCTGACATCAGGAGTTTGAGAACCAGCCTGGACAACATGGTGAAACCTCGTCTCTACTAAAAATACAAAAATTAGCCAGGCGTGATGGTGGGCACCTGTAATCCCAGCTACTCAGGAGGCTGAGGCAGAAGAATCACTTGAACCCAGGAGGTGGAAGTTGCAGTTAGGGCCTAACAGAGTTCCGAGATCGTGCCACTGCACTCCAGCCTAGGTGACTGAGCAAGACTCTATCTCAAAA